CCATTGGATAATATCCATTTTATAGTTTATTAAAATGTTTTAGAAGTTAAATTAACATCCTGCTTCGATGCAATCCCTTGTACTCTCATGTACTCCCATGTACTCCCGTGTACTCCCGTACTCCCATTGTACTCGGAGTATGGGAGTACGTCGTTTCCCCCTTGTAAGTGACTCACTTAATTTAATATTAAGTGTTAAGTGATTTACTTAATTTTAAGCTAATGTAAATGGTCCACCCCTACTGTGATGGATATCGAGTTTCTCTGTCACGATCTGTGGTGGACATGGATTTTCTCTGTTACGGTCTGTGGCGGGGGGGGGGGGGGGGGGGGGAAGGGGAGGGGTCAATCCAAATTTCTACCCTACAAGCTTCAATAGTCTTTTCAGGTCGTGTTTCAGAAAATAGCCTTCAAAAAGTTGCGGTACCCACGAACGCTTCTTCCTCTTTCTGTTCAATACGTAATTCAACTAATCTTTCGTGCTGTTTTTTCAAACATTAAAATTGTCTGACTTTATTCCACTCGTGATCACTATGATAATGCACTTTTTATAATGACCTAGTAAATGCATCCAGTGTTTGTGAGGTTCCATCGTTTAGAAATCTTTTTTGTGGCAGAAATATACTTTTAATGGTGTCATTCTGAGCGGACTGGCTCAGGCGGCCACTGTAAACTGGCTGAGAGGGCTAAACCGGGTGGACATCAGTGATTCTTGGGCCAGCATAGATCGGACTAGGTCATTGAAAAGTGGTCAAATTTTGAGCCCTGATAACGATGCCTTTGTAATTTTAGAGTAATCAGTGATCAATCCTAGATCTACACCGTCACTGTATTTTCAAATGGCGGCATCAGATTTAAAAAAAGTTAATGTTGTTATTATTGGCGCAACTGGAAGTGGTAAGTTGCAAATGGCTGCACGTATAACTAACCGTGATGTCACAACGCCCTCACAGTCAGTGTTTTCACAACATTTTTGTCAGCAAAACATTAAGTCCGATGACAATTACAAGATAAAAGATTCAATGACTGCAGACGACATAGTGTTCAGGTTTCATTTTTCGTGTCGGCAGGGTTTTACTCGAGTGGGTGGAGACGTATTTTTGACAAAAAAAATGAAAAATCGTTCCAAAACAGCGAAAAGTCACAAGAATATTGATGTTTATATCAATATATGGAGGGTGGGTGTCGGTGTGGGTGTGAGTGTGAAGGTCAATGTTCATCATCCCACACCCACACCCACACCCTTTATATTTTGATATTCGTAATCAGCACACTTGACTCTATCAATAAATATGTGTTTAAACGAAATCAAAAATAAAAAGTTTTTCAGAGATCCCTGTGGGGGACCACAGGTCCCAAAAATCTTTTGGTGAGCAATACGGAAAAAACCTATGGAATATCATCAGGAATCATGTCTTACTTCAAATCGATAAAAAAAGAGTTAATTTTGTTGGGGGCAGAAAAATGACCTTATAGACCCTTGTCCTTATGCTTTTTTGGCGATAGTGCTTTTCGATAAATTGCTAATATCTCGCGAACGGAATAATGTTTTTTCAAACAGCTTGCATCAAAATTCATAAAGCTTTGCTCTCTACAAGAATATCTTAATTTGAGGAGAACCTGATGATCGCGACTAGGTAGCTTGTCTTGAAATGGACCCCAATTTTTACACAAATCAGCTCATATATATACCGGAAAAAATTTTTCTTCGGAACAAAATCAAAATGCCAAGGTTTTTAAAATTGTTGCTAATAGCTCGAGGGCAGTAGTACTTAGTTCCAAAGCGGCAGCTCATAACTCGCTCATAAGCGATAGAAATCCTAATCACAATGTAGAGCGTATATCTAGAACCTATGAAATACCACTATACCACCTAACGAGTGGGAAAATGGTTTTGATTGCGTCAATCTATAGGATACTAAGGGTAGTATATATCCTCAAAGTTTCATGCCAAAAAACATCATGGTTGAAAAATGGTGAAGTATACACTGAGTGGGTACTGCATTGGTTATCGTCATTTTTTAGCTGAGGGTGCCCCCATTGTGATTTCAATATCTCAAGAAGGGAGCAGTTTTAGAGACTGAAATTTTAGACTTTTTCATACCTCACTTGGGTCTACATATAGGCAAAATTTCATTGAAATCCGTGAGATCAATTGAGCACGTGGTCCGTATTTTGGTCGTTTCTTTCGTGCAATGACTCCTAGACAGTTTATCAATAAACTATAAGCAGTATAATCGACGTCTATAAAAATCTTTATAAAATTTTGTCTTTCATGTCGAAAAAGAAAATATTATAAAAACCAATATTATCTATATCACCAATAAGTTCGTTTTTGAACATTTAAACATCTATATTTTACATTAAAATTCAAAACATATAGAATGCACAGAAACTTACCCTTGAAGTATATGAGCATAGATGTGAAAAAGGATTGAAATAAACATAACCTTAATTCTCCTCCTTTTTTTTCTTTTTTTGTTCGAGTGGGCGTTTTCTGATAACGTAACTAGAATAGCTATTTTTTGATTAAATGATCAAAGTTTAGATGTAGTTATTGTGCTATTTATAAACAAGAGAACTATATCAATTCATAGCAACATGTTTCAGGCATACTACTGATTGATTATTGAATTATCTATGCGATTCACTATATGCTATCAGCTATTCTTACAGTGGTCATATATAAATGACTTTCCGAGAGATTAATGTGTATCGCAGTTTTTCCTGATAGTATTTTATATTGAATCGTAAAAAAGACAATGTCCACATAAATCTATTTATCGAGGTTTCTGTGAATAAATAAATCTTGTTACTAAAGATCAGAATCAAAACAAATAGTTGATATAAAAAACTCTATGACAATAAATTATTAAAAGAGTGAAAGAATATCAATAACTTCATTGAAAGACTAAGACTGACTTCTATTCGAACAACATATATCGTCTAGTCTTTCGAATTTCTTGCCTTTCAAAAATCAATCAGATTTCAACAGAATACACTAACGAATCCTCAAAATCCCTAAAATCAATTAAATTTTAGCAGAATACAGTGGCGAACTCTACATCTTCCTAAATTTTAATTAGATTTGCATTAGAATAAGTGGCGAACTGTACGTCTTCCTAAATATTACTTAGATTTGCATTAGAAAAAGTGGCGAGCTTTACATCTTCCTAAACTTAGTTAAAGTTCAATTAAAGTCGAATATAACTTAATCTAAATGTATAGGATCAGTTATTTATTCTTATGTTTTTCAACTTTTTAAAAATTTCAAGTCTTTTAAAAGCTGTATTTAATTTTGCCTAAAGCTCAATTTTGCTTGACACATATATACATCAAAAGGATGATTTATTAGATCAGTTCGTACCTATAGGATCGTTTAGAGTTCTGAAGACTTTTAATAATGTTCTTACTATCCTATTCTTGGTTTTCGCTTGTTTGTCAGGAAAGAGTACGGTAATCAATTACATTACAAACTATTTTCGCCAGGGAAGATTAGACAATTTGAAAATTGCTATACCTACTGAATTCTATCTGGCAACTGAAAAGGACTTCAAATCGAACGAATACAACATCATTGACAAAACACAAAGTAAAACACTCGAGTGTAATGAATATGTATATGAGAAGCACCAAAACGACAGTTCGACTCAATTTTGTTTCATTGATACACCTGGTGTCGGCGATACGCGCGGAATCAAATACGATAAACAAAATATTAAACAAATCTTTGATCTAGTACAGCAAATGGAAACACTCACGGCTATTCTTCTCATAATCAACGGTACACAATCACGCGTAACATTCAACATCGAATATGTTCTACAGCAATTTCGTCACTGGCTTCCAAACATTTTCTTGAACAATGTGGTCATAATCTTAACAAATTGTAATTGTTACACGTTTAATTTTGAACCAGAAACAATAGGTCTACCATCAACAGTTAAAACTTTCTATATGCAAAATTCAGCATTTTCAAATAATCCCAAGAAGCTCAACTATCAGTTCAAGCAAAATTTAGAAGATGACTGGAAGCAGTCGATGAAAACTCTAGACAAAATAATTGATTTGTTGTATACTCTTCCTCCCGTGTCAACTCAGGCATTTATTGATATGGATAGTGATAAAAATGAATTGAGAAGTTTATTGCATGAATCGCGTTTGATAATTAGAGAATTACAAAAATTAGACGATGCTTTAGAAACAAAAGCAGCCTTGAATAAGCTCCAGAATGGTTATACAACGACACCAGTCAGTTATCAAAATACAATATGTTCAAATTGTCATCGTGTGTGTCATGAAAACTGTACTCTGAATGAGATATCAAACCAAGACCGTAGTACTCTATCTGCTTGTATCGCATTCACCGATGCGGGTTATTGTAAAAACTGCCCTGGAAAATGCAATGTCAAGCAACATTATCATGCACGAAAACTAATTAAACAGATTGACCAGACTCAGCAGCAACTGCTGAAAGCTGTAGAAGAAGAACAGACACTGAAATCAAAAGCTGCCATAGAAAAAAAATTACAGAATCAATTAGCTGAAATTCAATGTCGTGCTGACCATCTGAAAAAAACTTGTGCCGAATTTAATATTGCAGAAGAATTTCATTTGTTTATTGATTATTTAGAAAGCGATATCAAACAATTGAAATCTGTATCTGCCAAAAGGCAAGCGAATGATTTTTTAGGACAAGTTGTAACCATTTGTGATGCATTAACAAATCGGCAATTATTCCGATCAAATGCACAACTGAAAGAGGAAAGAAGCCAAGAACCCTTTGTCAAGTCGACTGGATGTCATGAATTGCACATGACGGCGATTACTACTAGTTACAGTCGTCATCAGTCATCCTCGAGCACTACTGCCGGTATTTATCAAAAACCAACTACTGAAGAAGTAGTTGATCATCCCTTAAAAAAGCTTGAGCGCCCGACGTCATCGACAGACAGAAAATCCAAGGATGAAACAAAGTGCGCCAATGACAATAACAACGATATGGATATTGGTGATAACTATTACGATCCAGAAACTGATGACGAACAGGACGATATCGATACAACAAATTCACGTATCAAAGAATTTGAAGAAGATATTGATCATCATCTGCGTACGGCACAAGATGAATGGGAATACCATTTATTGAAGCTATATCGTTTGATGAAAAAAAAAGATAGAAGCGCACTTCTGAAAGGTGCTGAAAAGTTGGCTGGAATTCATTAACTAAATCCGACCCATCTAATCTCAAACTATTTTTTGTGTATTTCGCCACTTTTTAAAATGTCGTTCTAATTTATTCTTCATCTAGCACATCCTACTACCATATCCAAGAAAAACTCATGACTACTCACATTTGACTTTACCTTTATTCTATATATCGGGTGAGGCATAATGATTGCAACATCTAGTATTTTGTAAATACCTCAACACAGATCAATCATCTAATCTTGATTTTTTTTTGAAAGATGCGGCGTGTAGTTCTCTTCAGGAATAGCAATGAGAAATCCCATTGAGTTAGCTTGATGCTTTTTTTATAAGACTTAAAATGAAGCACTGTGTTATGGTGAAATGTCCCATTATTCTGAAAGAAACAAAAATGAAAATAATATTGATTATTTTGCGTAGTCTATCGTGACAAATTGTTACCATTTTATCTGGCCGAAGGTAACCGGTTATTTGGTGATCAAAACTGGTGTCTACAACAAGATGGAGCAACATCACATACAGATGAAAGATCCCAAGAATGATGCAAAAAGAACTTCAAGTCGTTTATATCTGAAGATCGGTGGTCTTTTAACTTACCAGATTTGAGTTCATTAGAGTATTCTATATGGGATACTGTCCATAAAAACATTGATTATCACAAGATCAAAACACGAGAAACTTTGAAGAAAGAAATAAAAAGTTCATGCAAAACATTGATTTGAGTTGTGTTTGCAATATGATCGGCTTATTTTTCCAAAGAGTTCGTGCAGTCGAACAACATAATGGCGATCATATTCTTCATGAACATTCATGATTTTTATATTATTTCATTTCAACTGATTTTGGAAAGTAAATAATAATATCATGAAAAGTTGTCTTTGAAATAATAAGACTACTTTTTAAGGTTATTTTCATCTTTACTTTTCTCAGGATAATGAGACATTTCACGATAACACAGTACTTCATTTTTAGCCTTATAAAAAATCATCAAACTAACTCATGAGATTTCTCATTACCATTCTCGTAGAGAATTTCATGACACATCTTTCAAAGAAAAAATCAAGATCATACGATTGATCTGTGCTGAGATATTTACAAAATACTAGATGTTGCAATAATTGTGCTTCACCCGGTACCCATTTCAATATGACACGCTACCGACACATGTGTCAACATGAAATGGCACAAGACCTACTGAGGTCTTAGAGTAACGAAAAATTTCGCTTGCAATGTTTAAAAAATTTTGACATGTAATGACACGCTGGCGTACATGCGTCACAGCGTGACAGTACTTCATGTGTCATTTTGGTTTTCTAAACATTTTGACACATGAAGTATTGTCACGCTTTGACACATAAACGTCATCGTGTCATGCTGTGTGACACATGTTACACCAGCGTGTCTTTATGTGTCAAAATTTTTTAAACATTGCAAACGAAATTTTTCGTTATTCTAAGACCTGAGTAGTTTTTGTGTCATTTCGTGTCGACACATATGTCGGTAGCGTGTCATATTGAAATGGGTATATAAAGAAAAGTCTTATACTAAGCGCAGATTTTATACAAATTCTTTTTTCTAGTTTCGTCTATATTAGTCTTGTAATGCTTTCTTTTATAAATTACAGGAGTGATACATACTCTTTAGTTACAGTTGGATTGGTTTTATTTGGCATCTGGTATGGTCTATAGAGTGAGTTCCTCTATGTGGCTAACTATATGAATTTTCTTCCTTTTTATTTCAACTAGAATGGAAAGACTTTTGATCTGGTCGGAGGTAAGAATTCGCAGTGACCTGTTTTTTTCGACGATCTATTTCGTTATTAGGACTTCTAGACTAAGAATATATAGACTAATAATTTTAGAACATCAAAAAACGATATAAATCCAATCAACGGTAAGCGAAAGTATTTGCTGCTTAAATTTATTAGGTATATGCATTATATCAAAGCATGACTGTATCGTTTCTATCGGACTCTTCACTTTATAATCTATTTGAGAACGCTGCCCAAGTGATACGAGATGCCTTTATATCTAAAAAACTTGTCACTGCGGCCTCTTAAGGGACCAAAGTGTGAAACTTGAAAACTCTGACTGTTATAAATCTATATATATTGTCAGAAAGGTTAAAATAATTTGTTAAAAAAAATGTCAAATGTGTGAATAAATCCAAACTACACGACTTGACAAAAGTATCCCCCCCCCTCGGATCTCAGCCACTACAAGAGCTGTGGCTCTAAAAACTTGGATATATATAGTTCTCGATCAATGTAGGTCAGCGGTGAAACCCGCATCCCTATAGCTTGAGTCAAAAGAACGTTAGGATGCATGGGGTTCAGTTCCATTGTAGACTTCATAACTCCAGAACAACAAAATCTTATGAGCTGGGGGGTGCGTCATTTTGTAGCCCTGTATAGTAGCTATCTGTGGTAAAAATTTCATCAAAGTTCATTGAATTATTGTGAAGTTAGGTTAATTTTACTGTAAGGATGGGTCTGCTCAAAAACCGTCCGGTCTCACTGTGTGACTTGTAATTCAGTGGGAGTTTGACAGATCGACTTCAAATTTTCAGGAAAGGCTGCCCCACAGGTCCTTATTGTTCTCTAAAATTTTCAGGGTTATATTATTTACTAGAGAGAAATGGCACTATGTTCAAATTTCAGATGTTGTCACAGGTCAAGCTACTCAAATACTCAAGCAAATGAGCTCATCTTTTGGGCATATGACTAGCATGTAAAGAGGCACAGTTCTATCAAAAAAAAGTTATAAAATTCATCAGGTATCATGGAAACTAAGACATGAACTTTTATAGTCCATTTTT